AAAAGTAAAAAATTACTGTGAGACATACTAGTACAGTGCTACTTTTGATCTTTTCATGGGATCAGTAAGAAAAATATTGTGTAGTACCACTATTATTTCTGAACACCGTCACAAAACTAATAATTATGCAGAATGTAAAAATGGCAAAAAAAAATTAAAATTCTGTAAGAGCAACTAGTTAAATTCTTTGGAATATGCATACACACAGGTATATTGCAACTCCCTGCTGCTATTTACATAATATGATTCACTGCTTTACTTGTAATGATAGCACAGTATGAGAAGTGAAAGTAAGAAGGAAGGTGGCTGCTGCAGCTACTGTGCAGCCTAAACAAAGACACACCTTAACAAATGTTTTTCCCCAATGCCAAACACATATCAGAAATTCAGTGCCATAACTACCAACGCTACCGTGCTGGTTTGTGGTGGAGTCAGATTTTGCCCCTAGTGGCAGGGCCAGAAAACGACACCCTGGCTTCAAAGCCTCTTTTTTTTTTAGTCTTAGACCTGATTCAAATGCATTTACTTTGTTAGCTTACATAGATGAACAGCCCTCAGATCCTCTGATGAATCACAGTAATACAAGTTATTCTTGGTTATATTGTTTGCCATAATAAAGGTATGGTGACAAAATGAAGTGGAGCAAACACGGAAAGTGTTGATTTCAGAGGTTATTGAACTTATCCATGTGACATGCAGTGTCTCCTGTAGCGTGAGAGAGAGTGAGAGTTTTTAGATATTTTATGTTGTCTATTTTACTGCTAATACACACATAACACAACAGAGGTGAAATTAATCAGTTCTTTTTTTTTGCTTGGAGCATTATAATTACCTCAGGCCTGGCTGCTTTAGCCGTTTTGAGTTATCTCTGTTTCACCTGAAAAAATCATGAATGAACTCTTGAAAAGTGCATCTGAAAACGGCAATAAAACAAAACTGCTTTAGTTATACAGCAAGTCAATACAAATAATAGTTTAGACATACCTTTCTCAGCATCTAATTCACATGTGGAAACCTCTTCATGGTCACCTGGAACAAACAGAAACATTTTACTGTGAGATTTAAAACTATCATCCTATTAGGCAAGTCTATTATATGCAAGCACACACAGTGAGTGAGTGTCGGAAATGTGAGTCTGATTAGGTTATGATTCAAATACTGGTCAATAGTAACCAAGCCCAGTTTTCCACAAATCATGGAAAAATATATGTTCAATGTCATACATCATTGCACTG